GTCACTCTATAGAGGCACCCTCACATGGCTATAAGGACTTGCTGAAGTCTGCTGGCGTGCATAGCTGTGTGTCTGTCAGGTGTTGTGCCAGCTTAAACCTGCTGTGTGTTGGGTGGCTGCAGCCATTATCTGCTGCATGCACAATGGATGAGGGCTTTCAACTCTCTTCTGGGAGAAAGGTTATGATCTAGTTTGCAGACAGGAATGCCTTTTTTTCTGGTTGCTTTCCTAGTGAGTTTAAGAGCTGATGCCACTCAGTCTCAGAGATGGATTTCAAATGATCTCACGCTAGCGATTTTCCAAGGCCAGGTTTTACTGAAGCACATTATTGCACTTCTAATTTACATCTGCATCTGAGACAAAAGACAGTCTGGTAAGTTTCAGGCACTTAGGGAATACACTTGTGCAGATGTCTGCAAATATCCTCCTTGCAGTCCTGGTGGTATTTTCATTAGAAGGTGATACGAGCCTTGAAATGTAGTGCTTCACTGACTAAAGCTGCACAGCAGTCCTGCAGACTTCGGTGCATTCTGCTGGGTCACTTCTTGCAGATCATGCAGACAATTATATAAGAAAGAAAAATGGTTCACTTAGCTGCAACTGCTGCTCTTTGGGAATGTTGCCTGCGTGTATTTCATTAGTGGCCTCACCCCTTGACTTCCTCTCTTTTCTCATGGAGGGTCAGTGCTTTAATGCTATGGTACTTGTTCAGTGTGTGGTATCTTTCAGATGCCTGCCGTGCAATTTTCATGTATCATCTAAATTCTTTCATTTCTAAGCTCTTGCCCTTTACTGGAGCAGAACAGGTTTCAGATAGTGAGCATCTCTGAGTTATTGTGTATCTGAATGTTCCTGGTTCTAACACTGATGTTCTGGGCTGGCAAAGAAAGGGAGCGGTAGCTCTTCCTTTCCTGTTCCTGAAGGAGTCAGAAAATTCTTTCTGTAGTCTTGAAATGATGTTAGCAGAGAATTTTCATCTTACAATTGGCAAGAAAGGTGCATCTTGATGTTCTAAGGGAGAGAACAGCAAAAAATAGCCTCTTCTATCCTGCGGAACAGACTAAAAATCTGCTGTGTAATACACATTGGAAGCAGGTTTAAGTGATTCCAGATGTCAGAGAGAGAAGTAAAACTTGGGAGTATATCCTGTCTCATCTGGATTAGATTGGATGTCAGGGGGAAGTTCTTTACAAGAGAGTGGTGAGGTTCTGGAAGAGGCTGCCCAGGGAAGCTGTGGATGCTCCATCCCTGTTCAAGGCCAGGGTGGATGGTGGCCTTGTCTAGTCCCAGATCTGGAGGTTGGTGACCATCCCCTGTGGCAGAAACATACAAACTCGATGATCTTTGCGATCCCAATCAAGCTATTCTGTAATCTGCATGTGTGTCATATTTGCACATGCAAGTACATGAGCATGCGTGTTCCTAGCAGCCTGACAGGGTGCTGTCTGGGTGTAAGGCTTCATATTCATCAAGTGTTATTATCCAGTCTAATAGATCTGCTTCTCTACCTGTAACATTAATTGCCACTGATGGGAGAGGGGATGGACATGAGTGTGAATTGAATGAGCATTTATGAGCGCATGGAGGGGGCTTACACCTGCCTGTTCTTTGCAAGGGGTCTTTTGGGGCTGAGAAGGATTGATGGGAATTAGTCCCCCATCAGTTTGTGTAATCCTCTGCAAGATGTCTGGGGCTGCTTCCAGCCCCAAGTCCCTGATGGCTATGTCACTGCAATTATCGCTGCAATTTGGCATGTTTTTGTATAGAACAATGCAAGAAAATACTTCAGTTTCTTAAGATAATAACACAGCTGACTTGTATGGTTCATTAAATATATGGTAGCAATAATTTTAGTTTGTCAGGAAACAGCTTTTCCCCAGAAAATCTAAATAACTTTGGAGACCCAAACCACAGTGGAATTCTGAAGTAATCCCTTAAGTCATGAGGAGTTGCTATGGGAACATGCAGGTGCTCAAGCCAACATCATGGAATAAAAAGATCATTTATAATTATCTAGGAAAAAGCAGTGACGCTTTTCCACGTAAGAAGCACTGTCTGTATTGTCCTAACTGAAGACAAAGAAGAACGCACAGTGCATATTTTTTAGCATTCGGGGTCTCTGCAAAAAAAGTAAAAAAGTACTCTCAAAAGCATTAATAGCTGCATGTCACAGCCGTGCTGCTCCTGAGGGAACCAGAGCCTCGTGGGCACAGGGACAATTCTGTGATTGTGACTTAACAAATTGCGCTTACTGTCATTGGCAGACATTTTATAAAGGCCTCATCTGTGTGCTCACAGTGCATGTCCTGCCTGCAGGGCAGTGGGGCAGCTCCTCCTGCAGACCTGTTGCTCTCCCAGCTAAGCGTGACGTGCATTTGGAGGCCTGTGTTGCTCTGGTACAATTTTACCTGTGCCAGTGATTCTCCAGCAGCAAAGCTGGAGGTATTCTCTTTCTTTGTGTTTGTTTGTTTTGAAAACATTTGTGTCCTTCTGGAACTGTCAGCAAGGCTAGAGGGAAAAATGTAAGTTTTCCATTTAATAATAGAGTTCAGCTTAAACTCTTTCTTCCTTTTTTTTTTTTTTTTTTTTTTTTAATAAGTTGTAAATTTGGAGGAAAATACTTGTGAAGGTGTTAGTTTGCACTTTCTGCTAGGGCTGTATTCAGCCCTGGTGAGACCACATCTCATGTACTGTGTTCAGCTTTGGGCCCCTCACTACAAGAAAGACATCAAGGCCCTGGAGTGTGTCTAGAGAAGGTAAAGGAAGCTGTGCAGGGTCTGGAGCACAAGTGTAATGGAGAGCAGCTGAGGGAACTGGGATTTTTCAGTCTTCAGAAGTGGGAGACCTTATTGCTCTCTACAATTCCCTGAAAGGAGGCTGTGGTTAGATGGGGTGACCTCCCAGATAAAGTGATAGGAATGGCCTCAGGTTGTGCCAGGGGAGTTTCAGGTTGAATTTTAAGAAAAAAATTGTTCTCCAAGAGTGGTCAAATATGGAAACAAGCTTCCTAGAGAATGGTGAAGGCACAGTCCTTGGAGGTGTTCAAAAAATGTGGAGATATGGCACTGAGCGACATGGTTAGTGAGCATGGTGTGAAGGGGCTGATGGTTGTACTAGATGATCTCAGAGGTCTTTTCCAACTTTAATGATTCTGTGATTCTGTCAGGCCTGCAGGAAGGTGTTTCTAGTGGTGTTCCTCAGCATGGAGGTTGGTTCTGGCTGTCAAGGCATTATTGCAGAGTTTTTACCTTCTGTAACAGCAGTGTGCTTACAGTACTAGGCAGGGTTAGGGGAAACATAGAAATCACAAAACACAGGGAGGGCTTAGATCTGTCTGCAAAGGAATTCAGGCACTTTTGCTTTGTTGGCAATTAGGGTTTTTTTTTTTCTTGATGGCTTGTGGTGTCTTCTTTCAGTTCAGGCCTGAGCATTTGTTATTGTGTATCCTGGAAGGTCTGCCCTCTGTACAGCCCTATCTCAGTTCAATTTCTGCTTCCATTGGGCAGTGTCAACGAGCCCCTGTCCTGGTCTGGCACATGGCACAAGATAACACCCACAGATACACTCCCAGCCTGGAAAATGAGTCAAGCAAAGAGAACTGAACATCTGAGGGAAGCGAACAGTCTCCTCTGAGACTTCCCTGAAGCCTCAAGGTAAGCCAGTGGTACAGCTGAGCATGGATCTCGTTACAAGGTAGGACTGTACTACGCTGCCTGCTGACAGGACGTGGTTGTCATCATGCAGAAACATCCCTGTCTTCTAAGGCGATGTAAGCTAGGTCCGCCTTCTTGCTTCTGACCGCATAGGACTGAACAGGAGCTGCAGGCACTCCTCTCAGGACAATGCGCTGCATGCTCTGTAGGTGGAGCGTCTTGCTCCACTGCACGGGGTTCTGGCCCTAAAGCTCAGACAGTGACAACGTCAGCCCAGCACCTCTGGGCCTGAAAGCCCACTGCAGCACGTGTGTTGTGCTGGGGGGTGACTGTGCTCAGCATTGGAAGGGGCTGCCCTGCTCACTGTGTACACCTTCTCACTATACTAAGTGTTGTCTCTCTGGAGCCCTGTAGATTCGATGTGAACAAGTGCAGACAGATGAAAAACTTTGACCAGGTTCAGGGAATGAACTCGTGTATGGTGTCAGGTGCTCCTGTTTGCCGTCCGGTGCGTCTCCGCCGTGCAGCAGGCAGGAGCAGGGGCATTGCTGCTGCCTTATTCGCTCTTTCACTCACTCCCACTAAGCCTGAGCAGAGAAGATCCGTCCCTCAGCACTTCGTCGCAAAACCCTCATTTTACTTTTTTTCTAAGTGTCGTTCACCTGTTCCACCACATAACAAGCAGACGTTCGTTCTCCGTTTCTGTCTCCGGGAAGAAATGACGAAACGCACACAACAGAAGTATAAAATAGCTGCCGCCGTCGCCCCGCTGCCCCCGGCCTCCCGGCTCCGCTCCGCCCTCGCTCCCGCGGCGGTGCCGCGCTGCTGCAGACAGGCGCCGGGCAGCTCCGCTTGGAGCCGCGCGGAGACTGAACGGAGCACCCCGTCCCGCCCCGCTTCCCCGTCCTCCTCCGGGCCATGGCGGCGGGGGCGGGCCGGGGCGGGGCGGAGCGGTGACGGGCAGCCCGGCCGGCCGCGGAACCGCCGTAAACAGCGGGCGAGGGAGCCGGGGCTGCCCCAGCCCCGCGGGAGCCCGGCCGCTCTCGGCCCGTCGGAGCCGCGGCTCGCCGCCTGCCGGCGTGGGCATGGGCAGCAGCAGCCGCCGCCGCAGCCGGAGGAGGAGCCGCCGGCCCGGGCCCTGCGCGGGGCACCAAGGTAGGCTCGGCCGCCGCCCCGACCGCGGGGAGCCGCCGCTTCCTCCGGGCTCCGGCACGGGAAGGGGCCGGGCCGCTCGTCCCACGCCCGCGGCCCCGCGGCAGCGCCCTCCGCCCTCAGGTGGCGGCGAGCAACAGGCGGCGGCCGAGCGGCCCTCGGAGCGGGGCGCTGTCGGGAGCGGCTCCAGGTGCGGCCGTAAGAGGCTTTCCCCGCTGCCGCCAGCTTTGTCTGCTCTGCCTGACCTCGTCTCGCGGCGCGTTGGCGCTGGAGGTATTAGCGGTGCTCGGGAGGAAACGAGAGCCGATCAGCTGGGTGGGAGAGGCGCTGGTTTTGCGCTGCGTTTGTTTCGGGAGACGACGCGAATTTTCCTTCTGGTAGCGATGTGGAATGGAGGCGAGCGGAGTGAAAACTTTACGCAAGGTGTGCTGTCATAACCCGACCGTACGGAGCCGTGCGGCTGAGTGACAGGCGAGGAAATAGCCCGAATTCTTTCATGCCTCCAGGAGCTGGGAGCAGATAAAAGTACTCCTCGGGTTGTTCTCGAGTGTAACGCTAACTTCAGCACGCCGGGAGTGCGATTCAGGCTAAAAGCAGAACGTACGAAGCCGAGCTTCGGGCTGCAGTGTGAGAAAGAAACCGTGGCACCGCCTTTGGAACGGGCAAAGTGCGTGTGCCCCTGAACAGAGCCAGCCCGCAGCAACCCCGCTGCAACAGCTCGGTAGGGAGCTGCTCTGGCAGCAACAGCAGCTCGCTTTGAGAGCGTCTGCCTTTAGTTTGAGTAGCGTCAGGCCAGACTGGGGTTGAACCTGCCATGGATTAGCAGAGGAAAATTTTCTTTGGAAAATGCTTATTTATCAAGCCTATGTTGTTTTCTTTGATACCTGTCAATGACCCTGAATTCCTACTGACGTGTTGTGTTGTGCTGAGCTTGCATCTGGAGCGGGACAGCTCCAGCTGCAAGGGTGTGTGCCTGCTGTGGAACGTCGGGAGCTGTGACCCAGCTGTTGATGCCATGTTGCCCGGAGCAAGCCTGGCACTGTGCTGTCAGAGCCAGACCTTCCCTGGGATGTCACTGTGCTGCAGCTGCTGGGACTGATAGGACTAATGAAGACTGAGCGACTGTCTTTTCACTGGGGACTTTGTGTAACTTTGGTTACATCCGATGGGAACCTAAAAAGTTCAGAATTTGCTGGTTGTTTGTTGTGGTGTTTAGGGACGCTTCTTTAACTTGTCCTTCTGCTAGCTCTAGTCAGCAGGTGTGCTCATAGAGGTAAGCTGGTGGGAAAGGGCCAGGTTTCTGTTATGGGCTGATGGGTCGGAATAAAAGCTGTAACGTTTTTCATAATTCAGCCTGTGTCAAGGCTGGTGGAGGTAGCCAAATGAAGCAGTTACCATTCTAGCACTAGGAAATCCACCTGTCTCCTGGCTGATTTAGCCCAGTCTGAACTGTCATGAGGAAGTACAGCTTCCTACAGGATGAGGGATTTTTAATTTCTATTATTGCAGTCTAACCCTTTGGACAGGCAACTCTCCCATGTCCAACGGTGAAGGGAGTCCATCTGCTGAGGCTGTCAGCACCTGCTTTGGCAGCACGCCGAACTCTCTTCTCTGCCAGCCTGGTTTCCTTATTGCTGTTCCAAGCACTGTTATTAGTGGAGGAAGCAGATTGGTGTAGGAGCGTGGCCGCTTCCAGTAGTATTGACCGGGGGAGGAGCTCAGGTTCTCCTTACAATTTCTGCAGCGTGAGGAAAATGAGTCTTCTGCTCTTAGTCTTTCCCATCGTAGCTGTCAAAAGCAGTCAGTCCTGAGGTGACTGATAGCCAGCTTCGTAAATGGCTGTTGGAGACTCAAGTGAGAATGACCATTTGCTATGAGATGTGCAGACAGCAATGACTGTACCACTATTTATGATTTTTATTTTGTTTTGTGTAAGTTTTACATAAAGAGCTCTTGGTCCTGTGGAAGTGTCTCATGAGTATTCCGTAATAGGTGGTTGCTGAGCTCCTCTGCCAAATGAATAGGCTGTGATGGGCAGAGCTTGAAGGAACCTGGGTGCCATTAGTGCTGTCAGCTTGTGGCAGAGCTCAGCATTCTGCAGGAGTTTGGATGCAGTTGGCAAGATGCGGAAGCACTTCCCCTCTGCTGCAGAGAGAGGTGGAACAGAGGCAGGAAGAAGTATAACTTATTTGCAGGTAGAGAGCTGTTGTTTCAAGTGCACTGCATTTTTGTCATGGCACCTTTTAGGAAAAGTCTCTCTTCTGCTTTTTTTCGCCTGATTCTTGCTGTACGTTCCAAAAAGCATGGTGTGTTTCTCTAGTACGTTCTAAAGAAATGCTAGGAAATGGTTCAAATGCCCAAATTCCGTCAGGTTTCAGAGGTTAATATCATCTGTGTCTCTGAAAACTGACCCCCAAAACTTTAATCGCAGTTTGCATGGAAAGGTTTAGCCATCCAGAACTTCTGCAAGCAGCAAAGCAGAACATAAGACACTCAGCAAATTCAGCCAAATCCCCTTGTGGAAATACTGTCTTGTTTTCTTAATTATGGCTGTTCTGGCCTCTGAGACCCTTGAACTGCTCATCCTCTTTTGAAACACTGCTTAGGAAAATAGGTCATCTCTGGCCGTGCGTTTTGTTTGATTGGTTCGTAGGACCCGAAGATGTTATCTGTTCCTGGGTAGCTGTTTCCTCATGCTCTCATGGGTTTGCGTACTGGAGAATAAGGAAGTTCCTGTAATTCCAAGTGATTGCTCTCATCTGGATTTCACACCCACTGCTTCCTCCCTTGTGTCTAAAACAAATGGGATATTAATTTGTCTAATTGGGTAGTGTGCTCCAGGCAACATAAGGTTTTTCAGAGTAAGACTTGGTCAGGCAAGGATTTTTTAAAATAACATGTTGAGTTTGTGGCCACTTCTGTGGAAAATGGCGTTTTTGTCACTTCAGGATATGCTAAATTAACTTAACCCACCACATTTGTGTATACAATAAGTGATTAGCAAAGCTGTAGAAAGCTCTAAAGAATGGAAAACTAAAATTCTGGGAAAATATCAAGTCTAGGCCATATGGTATTAGAGGGGGAATTTTCCTGGGGAACAAGCTGTGGTATTACTGTCTGCTCTGCTGCTTTCATTTCTGAAAGATGTAGTGCGAGCTGCTGCAGGAGTAGCACAAGCAAACCACATAAACCACACATCTAATTCAGCAAAGGAATTTCTGTAGTAAGATAGGGAAGCAGCCGTGTTCATGGTAGTTGTGCAGAGCTTACTGTGACTTCTGTTTTACTGACTTGTTTGTTGGCTTCAGAGGTCTGTAGTCAGATTCAATGGTCCTTCTGGGTCCCTTTCAACTCAGGATGTTCTGTGGTCTGGTGGCAGCCCGCACGGCGTGGCAGAGCCTGTGTTAGACTTGCTGGGTGGGATTTGCTGGTAGTGAAGTTCTGCACCTCCAGATTTTTGCTTCTTTACTGAGTCAGGGCCAGCGTTACTGTTTCTGTCCTTCGGCCTTTCCTGAGAAGACCACTTGGCCAAAGAACTCGTTTCCAAGGAAGATTCTCCTTCAGTGCTTCCCACAATACTTCCACAGGTCTTTTATCAAGCAGTGTAACCATGTAACTGCATTCCTGTGAAGCACTGAACAACCACTTAACAGATTACATTGTGTCTTTGCAAGTGCTGGGTGGTTTTTTTGGTTTTTTGTTTTTGTTTGTTTTTCAGCTGTTCAATGCAATTAATAATAGACTTTAAGAGAGATGTTATTCTTAAATGTAATTAATCACCAGACAGTTCACAAACAGCCACAGAGATCTCAACCATCAAGAGTTTCCAGTGCTTGCAGTTTCTTTCCCCAGAGAATGGGAAACGCTGGCCTTCCCTCTGTGCCCAGCTGGCCAGCAAAGTTGGGCTGCTTTGAGGGGAAAAGATGCATGCAAATGGCTATTCAACTGCTTGTCCTCTAAAACAGATTCCTCTCTGGAGTTTGCCTGAGAGACCTCCAGACAGGTAAGGATAAGAGGTTCGTTTCAAGGAACAAAGCATTCCCAGCAGTTCTTCCCTGAGCAGGTAGTTTGCCTTCTGCCCTGTTCTGAACTGTTCTGTTCTGTAGGTCGGGAACCACTTCTCTTTGAATCAAGGAGGTCAGTTTGATACAGAGAGGAAGGGAGGAAGGATAGAAGGAGCCAGAGTGACAGATCACAAGTGTGTATGTGCATACAAGGTTACACACAACGTTGCTACTTTTTAGAAAAGTAAACCAAGACTTGTAGCTTCCCTTCTTCTCACCTACTTTGTTTTCAACAAGCTTTTCAGTTCTGCTTTGTTCTGTGTAGGGGGGGAGGAGTATCTGTAGGAATAAGGATGGCAATTCTTAACAGATAGTCTTCCCCTGGGTCTGATTTGCTGGTTCTAATGACCAGAATAATTTGTCACTGACTCACTCGCTGCTAATAGCTCTGTGCCATCAGTGCAGCTTGAGGATGGGAAACGTGCTGCTGTTCAGAGCTGGGTTTTGGGTTCCAGTCTCCTGTTACCCAGGAACGTACACAGGTGCAGTAGTGGGGATCCACATATCTTCCCTTCTTGACGGGTCTACTTTTGACAGAAGAATTTTGCCTTTAGAGAGCCATTTGAATAATATTATAGAACAGGAAGCAGCAGGTTCCCCATGACAAATTGCTTTATATCACTAATGGAACTCTGAGAAAATGTTCAGACAACTCTTACTATGGTAGAGATCTTCACATGGTAGTGGGTGTGAACCTGGCCTCTACCTTCCTGCGGGCAGGTGATGTCACATGGACTGTTCATGAGAGTGTCTCTTCTGATAGGTGCATGAATTCCTTTCTTTAATGTCATTCCCAATGACTTCATAAAGCATCTCCTGCTGACACCATCTCCTTCAAAGCCCAGGGAGCTGCTGGATGAAGGACCTCCTGTGACTGTTTATATTTGCTTTCACTGCCAATGGCTCCTTGTGTCATCCAGGACAGAGGATTAATCTCTCTGATCCCTCTATTTCTAGTTGTAAAAGCGCAGTGTGCTATTGAGGATGATTCACTATTAGGCCAATCCTTGTTATAATCTCTTGTAACTGCAAATGCATTGGTCAGAAGAGGAAGGCTAATGAAAAATGTGGCATATTTGTGTTATATAATATGGGAAGATGGATGGATGGAATGGAACATGAAGTCATGAAGCCCTATAGAGCTCTGCTGTGCTTTCAGACCATGGACCACGTTATAGCATGGGGTTCTTGCAGATGCCTCATCTTGCC